AGAGAAGATAAATCATAATCTTGGGACTGAAAAAAAAAAAAAAGTAGTGTTTTTTTTTTTTTTAAAAGTCCAAAATCATTTCACTGGAACTTAGAAAAAGTTTAAACCCACTGCTGGTATCATTTCCAACTCATAGCTCCGTATAGGACAGAGTAGAACTGACCCATAGTATATTCTTTATAGAAGCAGACTGCCTCATCTTTCTCCTGCAGAGCAGCTTTATGGGTTCAAACTGCTGACTTTTCGATAAGCCAACTGCTCAACCATTGTGTCAGCAGGGCACCTTAGAGAAAGCGTAATACTGCTTAAATTAACTTATTTTTACGTGAAGAAGGAAAAAAAAAAAATCACACAGAGACTTCCTAGTCTAGTTCCAACCCATATTTTACCTTCATCCTATATTCCACTCTCTCCTTTTTAGTCATATAAATTTATTCATTGTGCTATTTTAAATACTTTTGTGTTAGCAACAAACTGAAAGTTTAATTTTTTCTACAAGAAAGTAATCTTAGGTTTTCAATACTGTTCCCAATCTTTCAACACTGTTTCTTTGGAAATATATTGGGCTAAGGTAATGTGAGATAGTAGCTGTCTTCAGCATTTTTTATTGTGGAGAAACAATTCTTAATTGTCGAATTGGTTGTGGACTGGAAGAACTACACAGGGACATGCAAACTCTGACCAGAACTGTATAAAATCCTTTTGGAAAGCATATGCCTCTTCTTCCCTCTATTCACTGATGTGGAATTTTGGAAACTTTGTTCAGATGCTATTAGAATATGTGGTTCTCTGTGTAAGGGGCTTCCTGATGTTGTTATGGCCTTAGAACTGATTGTATCTCTGTTGGGGTCTGGAAATCAGTATCAGTATTGCTATAAAGACTTCAGATGAAAATGTACTTTACTTGATATTATAATGACCCATTGAGATGTTTCAACAAACAGATGCCCCGCTGGAGGCATTCACTAGGCTATGCCAAGAGATTTGGAAGCAGCTCTCTGGCCAACTGACTGGAAGACATCCATATTTACACCCATTTCAAAGAAAAGTGATCTCACAGAATGTGGAAATTATCAAACAATATCATTAATATTGCATTCAAGTAAAATCTTACTGAAGATAATTAAAAAACAGTTGCAGCATTATATTGATGGAGAACTTCCAGAAATGCAAGCTGGATTCTGAAGAGGAAGTGGAATGAGGAACTTCGTTGCTGATGTCAGATGGATCTTGGCTCAAAGCAAAGCATACCAGAAAAATACTTACTTGTGTTTTATTGACTATGCAAAAGCATGTGAGTGTGTACATCATAACAAATTATGGGTAACATTGGGAAGAATGGGAATTCAGAACACTTGATTGTCCTCATGAGGAATCTGTACATAGACCAGGAGGCTGTCACTCAGGCAGAACAAGGGGACACTGCATGTTTTAAAATCAAGAAGGGAGTGTGTCAGGGTTGTACCCTTTCACCATACTTACTCAATCTGTATACTAAGCAAATAAACTGAGAAGCTGAACTATATGAGGAAGAACGTGGCATCAGGATGGGAGGAAGAATCCTTAACCTGACGACACAACTTTGCTTCCTGAAAGTAAAGATGACTTGAAGCACTTACTGATGAAGACTGAAGAATACAGTTTGGGTTACATCTCAATATAAAGAAAACAAAATCCTCACAACTGGACCGATAAGCAGCATCATGATAAATGGAAAAAAGGTTGAGGTTGTCAAAGACTTCACGTTGCTTGGATCTGCAATCAACACCAATGGAAGCAGCAGTCAGGACATCAAAAGACATATGGCACTGGACAAATCGGTTGCAAAGGAAAGGATCTCTTTCAAGTGCTGAAGAGCAAAGATGTCTCCTTGAGGACTAAGGTGTGCCTGACACAAGCCATGGTATTTTCATTTGCCTCATATGCATGTGAGAGCTGGACAATAAATACGGAAGACTGAAGAAAGGTTGACGTTTTTGAGTTGTGGTGCTGGTGAAGAATGCTGGAAGTACCATGGACTGCTAAAAGAACTAAGAAATCTGTCCTGAAGGAAATGCAGGTTGAATGCTCCTTGGAAGCGAGAATGGCCAGATTTCGTCTCACCTACTTTGGTTGTGTTGTCAGAAGGGACCATTCCATGGAGAAGGATGTCATGCTTGGTAAGGTGGAGGGTCAATGAAGGAGGGGAAGGCCCTCAAGACATTGACACAGTGCCTGCAGTGATGGGGTCAAACATAGCAGGTATCGTGGAGCTGCCGCGGGACCAGGGGGTGTTTCGTTCTGCTGTGCATAGGGTTGCTATGAGTGAATGACAACTCGACGGCACCTAACAAGAACAACTCATCGTTTTTATTATTTGTGTACATGTTTTTCTTTTTGTATTGTAAGCTGCTCAAAGACTAGAAACATTTTGCTTTTCCTATATTTGTTATGTTAGTAGCATGTGGTAAATATTTAGAAAACTTTTCTGAGTCAATAAATGGTTTGGTATTAAGGTGTAAATGGAGGAATCTGGTACTTGTTCTCTCTGCTAAAGGAGAGTTTTATTCTTCTTTCTTTCTTACTTAAGATTTTGGGGCATTTCTTGAAGCATAACAAAGTTTGAAGGCTCTTACCTGAGATTTGAAACTGTTTCCCAAAAACAATCTCCTAAAATAAAAATCCAAGTAATTTTTTTTCCTGAATAATTATGCATTCGAGAAATTTTTCATCTGTAAGTTAAAAATGCAAAATTCTGTTATGATTTTCAAGGTGTATATTATAATAATCTCAACCTTTTCAGCCTTTGTTCTCAAACCTGTTTTTTTTTGTGTGTGTGTACTTCTGTTCCTACTCTAACAAATTACATCCCATTTTCCATATAAACAATATATATTCCCACCTTATGGTCAGTTTCCGTCCTAGCTCCTAGTCCCTGCCACCAACCACCCCACCTCTGCCCAATGTAGTGGCATCCCAGCCATTCACATTTTTTATTTCACCCTGGCTGAAATGCTACATTCTCTAGTAAACCCCTAGTTGGAATTAATCTTGCTTTTGGGTTCCCGTGACACAATCTTCAGGCAGTTGTCACCTATTGCTTTGTATAATAGGTATAGCTATAACAAAGCAGTTAAAAAAGTTGTAATTATGTTAAAATGAATTTATGAAATGATGAACTTATTTAGGAGCAAAAGAACCTGGTGAATTTTTTGTATATATATATAAATCTATCTATCTATCTATCTATCTATATATATTTAAGCAGTAGAAGTTTCTACAGTTTACAAATGATATTTTGAAGAAAATAATTGACATTTTAACAGTTCTTAAATTCTCTATTTATAATAACAGTTTTCTGGAGCTTAAAGGGAATCCCAAAGCTTGAAACCTCTTCAGACTTTATGAACAATTTTAATACAGACAAATAGTACACAGTACATCAGTTTGCAAAGAATTTTCAAGTTTCCTCATTTTTAGTGACAATCCTGTGACAGGCAGAGATGGTCATACCTGTTTTATTGATGAAAAGTGTTTGGGGGATTTGCCCAAGGTCAAATACTGTGGTAAAACTAGGATTTGAGCCCAAATTTTCTGAATATAAGTATAGAAAGGACTCAATACTATGATGCTCAGAAGATTTTTCTGACTTTTTGGAATAGGCCATTAGAAAAAATAATTTCCAACTGACTAGTTAACCTGAAATTTTTCTTTGGTTCTGTTTGTGAACATGGAGCTTCTCTTGAGACTTTAAGCATTGATTAGTAAAATGTTAAGCTTTTTTTTTCTCCCACTCTGACAATAAAGTTTGACAGATAATTTCTTAGAAATATACCAATATTTTGCAAATGACACCATGTATTTAATGACGGCCATTAGATTTGTTAGCTTTTATAAATGGTGAAAGTACAGTTTATCTGAGGCTGTATTGAAAATGAAGATCATACTCGAGTTTTTCCTAAAGCATAAAGAACATTGAGGGAGATTTAGCTAATGAAGTTTATGATACCAAGAGATTCGTGCTTTAGACCTTTATAAAATATTTATACGCGAACTTCCTGAGATGTATGTGAAATAAGATTTAAATTAATTGCTAACTGATAATAAATCCTGGCTTCTACAGGGCTTTTGACTAATTGCTTTCTACTAGGTGCATTTGATAAAAAACAACTGTCCTAATACAGAGAATTTCATGTTACCCCATTGTAGTAGAAGAAATTAACTATTAGTTAAGAATTTCATGTATAGATAAATACACTAGACTTGAGGTTTGATAGCACATTAAGCACCAAAGTTACCACATGGCTATCATTTACATTATGTAGTTAATATGTATCAACAACTGTTCTAAGCATTTTCTATGTATTAACTAATCCTCAAAACAGCTCTACTATGAATTAGCTTTACTATTCCTATTCCATTTTAAAGACAAGGAAAAGACATAGTAAGTGGTTATAGTTAAAGATTTTCAAATTCCTTATCAAATTCCTTTGCAAGACAATGGCTTTATTACAAAGACAAATAGCTACAGGAAAATGAGCTTTATTCTGATATAGCTCTAGGTTACTGAAATAGCTATAGTCAATCTGAGCATTTCATGCTTATACATCTTAAGCCATAGAAGAACTTGGAACACATGAACCTGTCACATTTTGAAAAGTTGTACAAGCTCAGTGAATTATACACGAAACATTATTCTTAAGTAGACTGCTTGTAAAAGGCAAAGAGTGTTAATAAAGAGCTTAGCTAGCTAGATTAAAGAAATTGTCTCTGCCCATCTGTTCTAATTAGCTTATCTCTCCTGCTTTCATAGCATGTTGGTTATTTCAGAAAAGAAGTGAGAGGTACCTTTGAAAGGACACCATTTTTATTTAAGCTCATTTAATGGTTTTAGAATGGTTTTCTGTTCTCAAACTTTTAAATGTTAGGATTTTCTTGTAACAATTTGTTATTGGGAGTTTCAAGGCTTTGGGTGCTCAATTAAGGATTTTGTCCTCCTCATTCCTTTGGTTTTCACCCAAATGATTATGTTTCCTCTTTTTGGGAAGACCTCTCTGGGTTTTTTGATATTTGTCCTGGTAAAAGTAAACCTTTCATCATTAACAGGTATTTTAAATCTAAATTTGTTTTCTATCTTTCTGTGTATCTGTAGTATATTCTTTCTAGAAATAGCATTCTTTGATGTTATTAGTTATGAGAAGTTGATACTGCTTCATTTAATCAGTTTCAAATTCTCTCCAATAATTTCAGCTTCTTTTCATTAGGAATTTCATTCCTGATGTAAGCCTTTACTTTCCTTTATTTCTTTGTTGAAGTTAGATGTGTACTTGATTTCAGTGACCAGCAATCTTGAAATAAAGGAGTAGAAATTAAATAGAAAAAAAGATTAAATGTTTTACTCGTCACTTCCTTAGATATTGCATGCATGTCTGTATCCTGGGCATTGACTCCAAAATTCAAATGTTGCACAAGTACTACTTTGTTTGTTTGTTTGTTACCTTCACACTGTATCTTATTCATCAGCAGAAGCCTGATTCTGTTTTCACTCTGTAGCGCAAACCTACTTACCTTTTGAGGAGATCCAAGAACCCAAGAGTGCATTTTCTTTTCTCCTTACGGACTCGGAACCCACAGATTCTTCTCCATCTACTGAAAAGAAACAGCCTCTGGACCACAGAGAAGTTGAGAGACAATGGTTGCTCAGAAGAAGGCGATCTCTGTTTCCTAATGGAGTAAAAATCTGCCCAGAAGAAAGTGTTACAGAGGCTGTGGCAAATCATGTGAAGTATTTTAAAGTCCGAGGTAAGCTACGACCCACGATCCACTGCTGCAAACCCTTGGGCTTCATACATGAAATTCAAACATAGTTCTATTACATTTGTTATATCTCATTATAATTAAAAGTTCAAAATGATAATTTATACAAGGTTAGAGACAATTATCTTTTTAGTAGCTATGAAAAAATGATTTACTAAAACTATAGTATTAAAGTTTCAGAGGAGAGATTACACCATTTTAAGAGAGGAAATATTTTTAAGTACTTTAGGAATACAACTTATATAATTAGATAAATTAATTATAATTTATTCTAATTTAGTAGAGTTATTTGCCTAAGTATGTCCACATGATATACTTACCAAGATATACTTACTTATTGGCCTAATTTAGCTAATTTATATACATGAAAAGATATTTCTATATTTTATAGCTTAGTCATTCCATAGATTTCATGTTGGTAGCTCCCCAGTTGGTATATATATGAAACTGTATGTCTATAATGATGACACTTCTCACAATGTACCCTTGAGCAGCAACAACTAGTATTTTATTTTGTTTTTAATTAAATAGTAGTATCTTTGATTTCATATTTTTTATTAGGTGAATTCTCACATTTACTAACCAAAAGATACAGCCATCTCAACGTATAACAGTGACAATATCTTTAGACATTTGCAAGACCTGTAGGCATTGCTTTTTGCTGCTCAAGAACCAATAAGAGGCTAAATATAAATGTGAGACAGATGACTAAATAATAGTGAAATCTGGTTTATTTGTTTATGCATTTTTTCATTCATGTAGTCAACAAATGTTTTATTGAGCACTCACGTTTTCTAGGCACAGGCTTAAGTGAACCTTAAGTCTGAGCTCCTACTTTAGCTTCTCCTGCATTTTTCTCTTCAGTCTTTTTTCCTTCTTCAAAGTAAGTGTTTTTCTCACTCCTGTCAAGTCAAATCTGACTCATAATGACCCCTCCTTGGGTTTCCAAGGCAGTATCACTGTGGAAGTAGATTGCCCAATCTTCCTTCCAAGGAGTGGCAGGTAGGTTTGAACCACCAACCTTCTGGTTAGCAGTCAAATGCCTTAGGCACTACTCCACCAGAGCTCCCAAGTGTTTTTAACATGAAGCAAAAAAAGTAGTACTGGATTTATACGTATTTAGATACTTGATTTTTTGTTTAAGTAGTGCAATGTATTGATACTTTATTTTTGGAGCGTATTTGTATTTCTTCCTTGTGATTTGGGGCTATCAAACATTGCTAAGCAATAAGCTTTCCTTTTGCTTTTTAAATAGAGATCCATTGACCTACAAGTTTGTGTGAAAGACATAAAAATATACCAGAAGTGGAAGATTCCGAAAGAGTGGAGAGAGAGTAAAGGCACTAAATAAAAAGGAAAATGACATAATTTGTCAGGATATGATTCCTCTTACCTGAGTTTTACTCTGTGTTATTTTTAGATAGATTAAAACATATGGATATCTCAATTGCTGGTTAAATAGTGAAGAGAAAATAATCAGTCATTTAAGGAATATGATTATGCTTTTTAATTGCTTTGCCTGAGTTTTTATAGAGTCAAAATACTATTTTTGAAAGTAAACAGAAAAATTAAAGCATCCCATAACAACAGACTTTAAAATACTGATGCTATGAATGGGATCATTGACAAGGGACCTCATCAAGCTAAAATGTTTGTTACAGCACATTAAGAATATAACAGTGTCGATTTGGCTTTTACTGTCATGGTAAAGAGTAGTATTTCTTTTGTTATGTTTTTGAAAATTGGGTAAAATGGATATTTCAACATAGGTCTTGATTTTGAAGAGATGGATTTACCCTTCAAACTATCACTACAATCAAGATTGAATTTATCAGTTACTTCTAAATGTTTTCTCACACCCCATTATAATTCCTTCCTTATTTTACCAGTTTCCCTCACCATAATACACAGGCAACACTTGTTCTGTGAATTTCTTACAAATTTATATGTAAACAGAATAAAATAGTATGTACTTTTTTTTTGCCTGTCTCCTTTTATGCCATGTACTTACTTTGATATTAATGTGTGTGTTTCTTTTGTTTTGTCAGATGTATATCTAAGGATGTCATATTTTTTATGCTTTTGAAAATTTTATTTTTTTAAAATTTAATTGCTAATTATTCCTTGCTAAAAAACAAAAACCAAATTCATGCCATTGAGTTGATTCTGACTCATAGTGACCCACTTTGGGTTTCTGAGGCAGTAAATCTTTATGGAAGTAGATTGCCCAGTCTTCCTTCTGCAGAGTGGCTGGTGGATTTGAATTGTCAACCTTCTGGTTAGCACTCAAATGCCTTAGGCAGTACTGTTGTTGTTGTTGTTATTTGCCGTCGAGTCGGCCCCGACTCATAGCGACCCCTCCTTGGGTTTCCGAGGCAGTACTAGTATGTAGAAATACAACTGATTTTCATATCATGACCTTTTACCCTGTAACTTTGCTAAACTGACTTAATTCTAACAGCTTTTTTGGTACATTCCTGATGTTGATAATTATCCTATCAATTTGTGTTAATATGGTGGCTTGTATGTTACTTTGAGCCTGGTGGCTATGCTACCGGTATTTGAAATACCACAGGGTCACCCTTGGTGGACATGTTTAAGCAGAGCTTCCAGACTAAGACTCAGAAGAAGGAAGGGGCCATCCACTTCTCAAAATACTGGCCAGTAAAAACTTTATGAACAGTAGTGAAACACTATCTGATATATTACTGGAAAACTTTATGAATAGCCCTGAAATACTGTCTGATATAGTGCTGGAAGATGAGCCCCTCAGGTCAGAAGGCCAAATGTCTGGAGAAGAGCTGCCTGCTCAAAGTAGAGTTGACCTTAATGACATGGATGGAGCAAAGCTTTCGGGACCTCCATTTGCTGATGTGGCATGACTCAAAATGTAAAGAAACAGCTGCAAACCTCCATTAATAATCTGAATATGGAATGTTAAGAAGTATAAATCTAGGAAAATTGGAAGTTGTCAAAAATGAAATGGAATGCATAAATATCAATATCCTAGGTATTAGTGAGTTGAAATGGACTGATTTTGGCCATTTTGAATCAGACAACCATATGATCTATGCTGGGAATGACAAATTGAAGAGGAATGGTGTGGCATTCATCATCACAAAGAATGTTTCAAGATCTATCCTGAAATACAGTGCTGTCAGTGATAGGATATTATGTATACACCTACAAGGAAGACCAGTTAGTACTACTACTATTCAAATTTATGCACCAACTACTAAAGCCAAAGATGAAGAAATTGATTTTTACCAACTTCTGCAGTCTGAAATTGACCAAACATGCAATCATGATGTGTCAAATATTTCTGGCAATTGGAATACAAAAGTTAGAAACAACTGATAGTTGTATCAGAATTACTGATAGTTGGAAAATACAGCCTTGGTGATAGAAATGATGGCAAAGATCGTGTGATAGAATTTTGTAAGACCAATGACTTTTTCATTCCAAATATCTTTTTTTCAACAACAAAAATGGTAGCTATAAATGTGGACTTTGCCACATGGAATACACAGGATTCAGACTGACTACATATGTGGAAAGAGAAGATGGAGAAGCTCAATATCTTCTGCCAAAACAAGGCAGGAGCTGACTGTGGAATATCCCATCAATTGCTCATATTGCAAGTTCAAGTTGAAACTGAAGACAATTAAAACAAGTCTACAAGAGCCAAAATATGATTCTAATTATATCCCATCTGTATTTAGAGACCATCTGAAGAATAGATCTGACACGTTGAACACCAATGACTGAAAACCAGAATAATTGTGGGATGACATCAAGAACATCATACATGAGGAAAGCAAAAGGTCATTAAAAAGAAAAGGAATAACAAAGGGCCAAAATCCATTAAATGGGGAAGAGTATGTTTGTATAATAAATGGTGCTGGAAAAACTGGAGATCCATTTGCAGAAAAATGAAACAAGATCTGTACCTCACACCATACACAAAAACGAACTCCAGATTGATCAAAGACTTAAATGTGAAACTAAAAACTATAAAGTTCCTCAAGGAAAGACTAGGGGCAAATTTAGGGGCCTTAATATATGGCGTAAATAGACTATCAGGCATAACCCAAAATGCACAAACAGCAGAAGACAAACTAGATGAATGGGACCTTCTAAAAATTAAATTGTTATGTGCTTCCAAAGATTTCTCCAAAACAGTCAAAAGAGAACCTACAGATTGGGAAAAAAACATTTGTTAATGACATATCTGACAAGGGACTTATCTCTAGAACTTATAGAAAACTCCAACACCTCAATAACAAAAAGACAAATAATCCAATTAAAAAATGGGCAGAAGACATGAATAGACACTTCACTGAGGATGATATTCATGTGGCCAACAAACATATGAAGAAATGCTCATGATCATTAGTTATTAGAGAGATGCAAATCAAAACAACAAGAGATACCATCTTGCTCCAGCACTAGTAGCAAAGTTCAACAAGACAGAAAATAACAAATGCTGGCGAGGTTGTGGAGAGATTGGGACTCTCATACACTGCTGGTGGGACTGTAAAATGGTACAACCACTGTGGAAAGCAGTATGGCAATTCCTTAAAAAGTTGGAATTAGAAATACCATTTGACTCAGCCATTCCATTACTGGATATATATACTAAAGAAGTGGGAGCCATGACAAGAACAGACATATGTACACCCATGTTCATCGCAGCACTATTTACAATAGCCAAAAGATGGAAACAACCTAGGTGTCCATCAGCTGAGGAATGGATAACCAAATTGTGGTATGTACATACCCACAATGGAATACTATGCAATGCTAAAGAATAACGTAGAAACACCGCAAAACAAACACCACATAACATGGATGAATTTGGGGGACATTACGCTGAATGAAATAAATTAAACACAGAGGGACAAATATTGTATTAGTCCGTTACTGTAAAAGTCAAGGAAAGGTTTATCTATGGAAGGAAATTTTCTTTGTTGGTTACCAAGGGT